TCAGGGAGCAGTGGTGGGGCGGGGGGTGGGGGGAGTTTCGTGGAGCATCCAGCGGTGAGCTTTGTGGGGCAGCAGCAAGTTTCACGGAGCAGTCGAGGGGCTGCGAGCATCTCAGAGCGTCCTCGGATGGGGAGCTTCACATAGTGTCGCAGGGCCACAGAGGCCATGCAATGGAGCCCAGGCTAGGCCTAGGGACCCTAACCGTGCACGATTTCGTGCGCGCTGGGCCTCTAGTATAGTTATAATGTGGTTGAGTGCAGTCGGAATCCAGGCTTTCTAATGTCAAGTCTACCATTCTTTTCACTATAGTACAGTGTCCTTGAACCATACTGGTGTGGCCTCTTCTGATAAGAGTTACACATTCTATACCCCCAGCACAAAGCCAAAGTCAGCATTTCCAATGCGAGTCCAAACCTAACAACAACAAAAGCAATATCAGACCTCCACAGAAGAACAGGCCATTATGAATTCTGTGAACACAAATAGCAACCGAGGGAAGGATAACTTTTGTAAGTAAATAAGATTTTACCATACAACTAAAAAGATTTTTTTTCTCATATATTGGCTCTCCTGTATGTTTTTGTGTAATTTCCTATACAAGTCCTAATATATATAGACCTAGGTGCCATCATGACTGCACAGGTGAATGGTCACCATGAAGTGCATGGAGCACCTCTTGGTCACCCCCCCTCCCGACCCCCAAGCCATTCACCATTGGGGGAGGCTGGCAGCGAGGCAGGACTGGGGACTGTTGAGCAGCAGTGGTGGGCTACTTCATGGAGCAGTCACCCATGTGGAAGCGAGTTTTGAGAAGCAGTCACGGGGCAGGGGAGTTTCGTGGAGCAGTTGCGGGGTTGGGGGAGCCTCAGGGAGCAGTGGTGGGGCGGGGGGTGGGGGGAGTTTCGTGGAGCATCCAGCGGTGAGCTTTGTGGGGCAGCAGCAAGTTTCACGGAGCAGTCGAGGGGCTGCGAGCATCTCAGAGCGTCCTCGGATGGGGAGCTTCACATAGTGTCGCAGGGCCACAGAGGCCATGCAATGGAGCCCAGGCTAGGCCTAGGGACCCTAACCGTGCACGATTTCGTGCGCGCTGGGCCTCTAGTATAGTTATAATGTGGTTGAGTGCAGTCGGAATCCAGGCTTTCTAATGTCAAGTCTACCATTCTTTTCACTATAGTACAGTGTCCTTGAACCATACTGGTGTGGCCTCTTCTGATAAGAGTTACACATTCTATACCCCCAGCACAAAGCCAAAGTCAGCATTTCCAATGCGAGTCCAAACCTAACAACAACAAAAGCAATATCAGACCTCCACAGAAGAACAGGCCATTATGAATTCTGTGAACACAAATAGCAACCGAGGGAAGGATAACTTTTGTAAGTAAATAAGATTTTACCATACAACTAAAAAGATTTTTTTTCTCATATATTGGCTCTCCTGTATGTTTTTGTGTAATTTCCTATACATCTATAGTTCCAAAGCAAAAATTTATGAATATCTTGTTCTTATTAGGAAGATGCCAACCTTTAGAAATTGAGGTAGTAAGAACCAATTTTTATGTAAAGACAAAACCAAGCAAAATTTCTTCAATCTCCCAACTTTTCTCATTTCTTCCTTTTTTCTTCTTTTCTTTTATCCCTCCTTTTTTCCTTCTACCTTATTTCATTTGTCAGAAAGAAACTCTATTATCTCAAATCACAAGGATTAAAGAAAAAGTAATTTGAATTTCCTCCCTTACCACATCCCAAATAAAGCAATATAATATACATAATCAGAGATTACTTGTTATCTTGATCAAATTGAAAAGTGATACGTTGCTTAGTTGGTGTGGCTCAGCAGTTCAGCGTTTACCCAGGAACCAAGAGGTCACCAGTTCGATTCCCTGTCAGCTGTGGGCTCCATCCCTTGTGGGGGCCATGCAGGAAACAACCAATCAATGATTCTTTATCATCATTGATGTTTCTATCTCTCTATCCCTCTTCCTTCCTCTCTCTCTAAAAACACAACAACAATATTTTTAAAAAAGAAAAATGATATGTTTATTTAGGAAGATATTAGTTTTTTTCTGATAGGTAATAGCACATATTTCCTTATAAAACAGTAGTAGAAGCTATAATTTTCCCTGTTAAGACACAATATATCTTTATTCTTGAAATAACCACATTTCTAATCAGACAAGCTAGATTTTTTTCCCTAGAAAAGAATAGAGCATCTACTGTCTAATCAAGAAGCTGACATTTTCTATTCTCCCACAATATTACGTTTGGGTGTGTGGTAGCAGCTAAAATTTCTCAGAAGTACTCATTCTCTCAATTAAGCTCATTAATCATTCTACCCTTAAAAATATTACAGCAGCCGAAACCGGTTTGGCTCAGTGGATAGAGCGTCGGCCTGCGGACTGAGAGGTCCCAGGTTCGATTCCGGTGAAGGGCATGTACCTTGGTTGCGGGCACATCCCCAGTGGGAGATGTGCAGGAGGCAGCTGATCGATGTTTCTCTCTCATCGATGTTTTTATGTCTATCTCTCTCTCCCTTCCTCTCTGTAAAAAATCAATAAAATATATTTTAAAAAAATATTACAGCAGAAAAATGCTGTACCTCATGTTAGGAACTATTTTATTTATGTCAATAATAAAGCTAACTAAAGAATAAAAATAGGCATTCACTAAAAAGGACTTGCCAACTGAATCCCAAATAAAGAAAACAATGGTCAATTCTACTGGTCATAATAGAAATGTAAAACTTCTTTCAAAATAGGGGATACCTTTTTGGTTTTGGTTTTTGCCTGTCAGAATGGCCATATCTAGTGTTTGCCAGAATGCAAAAACATAGGTTATTAGGAGGCACATAAATTGGTTAAAGCTTA